TGTGTTTGTGGTTGTGTGTTTGTGGTTGTGTGTTTGTGGTTGTGTGTGTTTGTGGTTGTGTGTTTGTGGTTGTGTGTGTTTGTGGTTTTGTGTTTGTGGTTTTGTGTTTGTGGTTATGTGTTTGTGATTGTGTCTTTGTAGTTGTGTGTGTAGTTTTGTGTTTGTGGTTTTGTGATTGTGGGTTTGTGATCGCGTGTTTCTGGTTGTGTTTCTGGTTGTGTTTGTGGTTGTGTGCTTGTGGTTGTGTCTTTGTAGTTGTGTTTGTAGTTGTGTGTTTGTGATTGTGTTTGGGGTTGTGTGTTTGTGGTTGTGTGTTTGTTAGTTCTGTTGGTAATTGTGTGTTGAGGTCCGGCGGGGAACACTGGGCGCATCTCACTGGGTGAGGTCCGGCGGGGAACACTGGGCGCGGATGGTTGTGGTTGAGGTCCGGCAGGGAACACTGGGCGTGGATGGTCGTGGTTGAGGTCCGGCGGAGGAGGACGAGGAGAAGCAGAAGGAGAAGGAGGAGGAGGAGATGGTCTGACATACAATTTAACAACCCTCACCCGACAGGTGGGGAAAAAGAGACATCAGAGAGAATCATCGATTCTTCCTGACTCTTCTCCAGTCATATCTATCGAAGAGTTTTGGCATCTGGATGTTGAGGCGGTGCTGGGGTGGAGGTTTGGATGGTCATCAAGTTGAGTGAAGGAGGTAAGTAGTGCCTCACATTTTGATGTCAAAAGCAGTAAAGCCAAGTGAAGCAGCTCTTCAGAATTGAGCGAGGAACTGCACTGAGACAATTTGCCAGAAGCACCGCCTGCCACTTTCCATCTTGAAATATCTCGAGTATTTATTTTTGATCAGTCTTTCAGGTAGTATGAAGTATGTGTTTTCTTTGTGTGTGTGTTCTCCATTGTCTCCGATTAATGATGCACCAGAGTCATCACTTGCAGTATCTCATGGTCAAAATCAATCTTGCTTTCCAGTTTGTATGCAAGAAAGACTACCCCAACACTATAAAAGTCCTCCCAAATCTACTTTTCAGCCTTTTGCATTCTGGCTTATGTGATGATTGCATGCAGAACGATTTGGCCAGCTTTGAGGGCCTGAGGCATTTTTCGACCGATCACCAGGAGTATGGACGAGAGATCGATGTGTGGTCCACCGGTGTCAGTGGCTGAGTAAACTTGTGGGGTGTGGAAGGGCAAAGTGGGCAAAGACATGCAAAGACCGCAATCGCATGACAAGAACTTTGGGAAGAGTGTCTCGGTGACAATCGTCACATTCTTTTTGTTGCTTGGGCAACATAGAAAACGTGTGGCCTAAAGGAGGTGCCAATTGGTGTCAGGATTTTGGGATATTTTTGGTTGCATCTGACGTCATTTTTTCCCGACTTCCTGTGCCTGACTGTACCCGTGTCGAAAATCGTTTGAGGGTGTTGCCACATCCAGCCAGAAACCAAGGTAGGTCAAATTCAACAAGTAGACTGGTCGGGCAAAAACGCCGAAGTAATGCACCCCAACGATATAGTTAGTATGTTGAACTTCGGTGTAGTTGAAGTTGACTTGCTGCTACCAACAGCATGACATGCTCTTCGTTCGTGGACCCTCCGCATGCGTGAGGTTATCACCTATGTTGTTCTGAGCGGCGCATTGCCTTTTTTCAACTCAGTGCTTCACAAGCTGCGGCAGCCTCGGTGAAAGGTGGTCAATCATTGGATTCACTAACACAATCTAATTTTATCTTTATATATATATATAATTTATATAGAGATCAGCCTGTAGGATCCATTTCAAGACTTGAACTGAACCAATGGTAGTTCTCTACCTCTTCTCACACCAGTGCAGCATGCACCCAAATAACTATGTTGCTTAGTGGTTGTGCTCGTTGTGCTCCTCCGGGGGTCACGCCTGAAGAGATGTTGGCCGTTGGCGCCCGAGGTATCGGCAAATCGTCGAACGGGATTTGAGCTTCTCCGATGCCCGGTGGAAGAGCGTCTCAGCTGGGGCGCAGGACGCTGCGATGCTGCGGGAAGGGAAAACATGGGGTGACATGCCGGTGGGTCGAGGGCCCAGTACAGGAATTGTGGGGCACTTCTTTGCGCTTGGTGCTTTGTGCCTCGGAGGGTTTTCTTGGCGGTGGAGGTTTCGTAAGTGGATGATAGTAGTTTCTTACTCCTAGTAGCGATGGCCTCCAACCTACTTGCGATGGCCTCCACCTAATGGCGTCCTTGCTACTAGTAACGATGCACTTGCTAAGTTCGGAACTCTAAGAGCAGAAGACAGATGGGACCTCAGATCCAGGACATCCCGAAGATGAAGTGCATGATTCTGCGTGATGCTGCAATTCCAGGGCTCACCCCCCGAAAGTCACTTGTAGGACAACGGAAGTTCTTGACACTCCCTTCATTTGAGGATCACAGTATACAGTAGGCAAAGTTTCAGTCTTTACTGTACATCTCCAGTTCGGAAGGGATCCGTATCAATAATTGAAGAATTGATTCGTTTCAAAAGAACAACTCATGCCATAGCATGCCTATCAAGAAACACATAGCTGGCTATTAGGTTGGAGACCATCGCTACTAGGGTGGAGGCCATTGCAACAACCATTGGTGACTACTATTATCGTTAATTACACCCAACGCCTTCGCGGTCAACGCGACCCCCAGGACTTCATCATGCGATTACTCCAAGTCCGTGCAGGCGATCGACTCACGGCTGAGCAGGCCAAAGCGGGCGATCGACTCACGTGCGGGTCGACCGGGAGGTGTCGATGGGATCGACCAAAGCGTAAAACTATAACAGCCTGACTCACTCGTGTGTGAAGAGTGCACAGAAATGGCTTTGACGACACCAACTTGTTTGAATGTTGGGTTGGGTTCAAATCAACACTTTCAGCAGAGGGGCAGCACGCGCATCGTTTGTGACTAGCACCTTCTCTATGTGCATGACCCTTTCTTAAGCCACATCCACATTAGCCCACTAGACTTCAGTCCAGTCCATCAATTGGCTGTGGTCGTTCGTCCAAGGCACTGCTGCATCCTTGGCTCCGCACGGTCTCGGGCAGCTCCTTCGCCAGTGAATCCAGCAGCACTCGGACGGTGCCACCCAACTACTACAGCCCGAACGCCCAACGGGTGAGGAGAGGATGGATCCACCGGCGCCGTGGGTCCACTGGGTCCACCGGCGCCGTCGTTTTCCATCGTTTTCCTTTTCTTTTTTTTCGTGGTGCCTGGCAGTGGTGCCCTCCCGGAGGGAGTGGAGTGGAGAGAAGCTGCAGACGGCGGGGTTGGTGGAGTGGTGGGGGGGGTCGGTTGGTATTCTGAGAGGGAGAAGGACATTGAAGGACATTGAAACCCACAAACAGTTTTCAAAAGTAGCAATCAATCTGAAAGCGACTTCAAAGTGCTTTACAAAGTTGTGGGAGCCTGTCCTGGCATGAAACTGGGATTAGTTCATTTGTCCATACGACAACGCCCGATGTGCCCTTCGCATCGACGGTTTCTTTGTACAAACGAGGCCAGATCCATGACCTCAGCTCAAGACATGGACAAACAATGACAAAAACTGCAGGTTTCTGGGTATTTGTTTCTTCCCCAACCAAGGTTTTTGGGGTTGCATTTTTGCCTAATTGAATGATATCGAACGTATATATATATTATATATATATACGATGTATATACGAAGTTTCTCAGGCAGAACTACTATATATGTGACTACATGGTCGGACATATAGGGGGTATTTTACTCTCCATAAAGGGTGTGGTTGTTTGTGTTTGTTCCATGTGGATCCTTGAATTGCTGCCACTTTGGCCGAGGTGGCGCTGTGCCAGTGAAATGACGAGGCCAGTGTTTGTTGGAGGTCAAAGTGAGATAAGGAATACTGAGAATATCTCTGCAATATGTCAAAGATGTGATATGATCCGATCCACAACGATCTGGGGAAGGTATTTATTTAATTCTATTTAGATTGTAGTCCGAACATTAATATATTTTCACCCATCTTGAAGGGATTTTGGCAGCTACATCGATCCATCCTCAGCTCCCACATACTGCTGAATGGCGACCACTTGAATGAGTTCATAGGGAACTTGTGG